AACATTGTTACGGCGAATGGCTGATTTCAGTTGGTGCCAAACAAAGGTGGAAGCCCTAAAACTGTATGCACTAGATTTTTTTCATAATTATTACAGACGTATTCCTTCTTCGTGAAAATAAATGTCGTGATTATACATGTAGTTTTGGAATGTTGCTTTAGTGTCACACGAGGAAGTGGTTTTAGTCAACTGTCTACTGTGATAACTTGCATTGTCCATTACAATGACGCTATTAGAAGGAATGTTTGGAACTAGTTTGTTTTTAAACTAACTTTGAAATAAATCAGCGATGATGTCTTCATGGTAATCCAGAGAAGAATCTTTAATATTTTTCGCAGACGGAGAAAGTCCATTTGGAATTCATCCATCTTTAGAGCTAGCATGCAAAATAGTAATTCTTTTACCTCCTTTTGATAGCGCGTTTGTTTTACACTTATCAGTTGAGTCAACCCAACCCTTTCCCGGGGTATCATAAGTGTCGAACTAGCTTTCATCCAATTGGAATTTGTTGTTCTTTGTAAATACTATTTTTTTCTAGATATTCCAGTCGCTATTACCGAATTCTAAAAGATTCCATTAAAACTTGCTTATTGTCATTTTTTTTTAATCTAAAACCCATGTGTTGAATACACTTCCATAAGGTAGTCACATTTAACACCGGTTTCATTTTTTTCAAGCCTCCTACTCAAGATAGCTAATGTAGGCACGCTTTGTTCCTCGTATAACTGGTAAATTTTACGCCGTATTATATCTTGATCACAGTCATCTACACTGGAGAAAATGTCAGCATCGCTTCTTTTTTTTCCTCTCTGAAATTTTCCATACAGTTGATGTTGGAACTTTTGTCAATGTGGCCGTTTCTTCCAAAGATGCTTGCTTGCGGGCACCACGTTCAATGAGAGTCAAATAAACATTGTTTATAACTTTCTTAGTTTCAATAGAATAGTGTTTTGTAAATTTGGGCGGGAGCATCTCCTGAGATGAGACTCGCACATATTTTGCATAATTCGCACACGATTCAACACACGCTGTATTACACATGAAATAAGAATGATTACTAATAAACTTAAACTAAGTAGTATACCAAGCCAAAGAATAATAAACACAGGTAGGTATAAAATTATTTTCTATTACCTGGATTTAAATTCCGAAACTTTAGGTAATAATCTTGTTGCATTGTGACCACCCTTGGATAATCCCATTCAAAAGCATTTGGTCACTTTCTTATATCTATGAACAGACCATACCGGCTTATATGTTGTTTGAGGGGGACCGAGCTAGATGGGGGCATAAACATCGCCTCGGATGACTGTTTCCCATATTGGTGACAGGTACGGACCTGAGTCGCGGTTAAGATTGTTAGGTTGCTTATAGGTTTTTATAGACTCTTGTATTTTTCGTTGGTAGAAGAATTGATTACATTCAAGAGTTTTAGTTTTATCGAATAAAATGTTATGTCCGGTTTCTTCATTGTGTTCGGCAACTGTTGATGAGTTCATTTGTCGTAGTCTTAAGGCTCTTCCATTGTCTTTAAGTCTAGCTGATATTTTTCGTGTGGTCTCTCCAATGCATTCTTTGCCGCATACGCATGGAATGCTGTAAATTCCTGGTATCTCAAACGGAATTTTGTGTTCGGCGGATCGAAAATTTTGAGAGATTTTTGGACAAGTAGTAAATATGGTTTTTGAAGTTAAATTTCTTAAGAAGTTTTAATATGTGGACAGCGTTGTTTTGAATTTAAGGAAGGACAACGGTGGTAAGTTAAGTTCAGCAAGTAGCTTTCACATACATGTTCGAGTATAAGGCAGTCTCTAGGTACACTTTATTGGTCTTTAAAACAAATTGTCAAAGTTTGCTGCTTGAGAAACATTCCAGTAATATTCCAAAAATAAGAAATTATGAAAACAATAACTCTGATAATGCATTAAGGTATCGGACTGTGTGTGCTTAGGTTTTCTGTAAACACAATTTTTTATTGTTCGGAATATCTAAGAATGGGAGGTAAAACTTATGTCAGGATGTATAAACTCTAAATGTCTAAGAAAATCTACCAGGGACCCTTGACCATGAGGCCAAATAACAACACTATCAGCGACCTAGCGTCTCCAAAATTTTGGTGGCTTCCATAAATATATTCGAGATACTGGAGAACCCATAGAAATTCCCGACGTTTGTTCAAAAATTTGACCGTTATAAGAAAAACATGTTCCAGGCAAACATTTTTCAATTAAGGTGAGAAGGTTTGGTTCCAGATTCTCGGATTTTAATAGATTAGAAATGATGTTGAGAGTTTCAGGAATAGAGACTTTGGTAAATACGTATTCTACGTCGAAACTGCTTTTTAATTGTTCAATGAAGTCAAAGGAATTAAGTACGAAATTGACAGTTTTCCCAGTACAGGGTTTCAACAAAGAAGGTAGACATTTTGCTGGGGTAATCCTGGTTTTTTTTTGGAGTCATAAGGGGTGACTTTTTCAGGGAGTCTGATAGAGAAGTCTTAATAAAAGATTTATTGTTACAATTCGTTCCTGAAGATGGCTAGTGTTTCTGAATTTGTTGTTGAGAAACGGAATAGTAAAAATGCGCTTTATAAAAATGCAAAATTGCAAAAATACTTAAAATGTGTTCAAATATGACCGAAATTAGACAGAGAATTATATGCCCACTTGGGCACGAGGATCAACGCGGTGCTGTTCGGTCACCAGAGAGAAGGAAGAAAGAAGAATATTAAGTAAAGAAGCTGTAATAAATGAGAATAAATAATTAATTACAATTTAAAAAAGAAATCAATAAGTTTGATTTCATCACACTTATGTATAAGAAGAAATAGTGAAATGAAAATCACTTTTAATATAAACGTACGAAGATATGACGACGATATTGGAGATTAGACTCTTTCGAAGGGCGAACAAGGATACCTATTATCTGACGAAGTTTGGTTAAAATATTTGGTGTGAGAATAATCAATATCTCAATTATCTGTCCATCTCTATAATTATTATAAACTGAGGTGGCTTTTACTTGATGAAAATCCATTTATCAAAATAAATAAGAACTAAAAGTTCAGATCTTGATCACTTGATAAAGACACGGTGTTGTCGAAACAATTGTCATGTCATAATATATAATTTCGTGAAAATCTGAGCTTTTAGTTCTTATTTATTTTGAATTATTATTAAAACTACCTGTAGCAAAGCCGCTGTTACATTAGTTTCATTCACTAAACTCGTCATTCTATTATACGCAAATTAGTGAAGTGTTAAAAACTGATATAGAAAAAACTATTATTACAATTTATCTGACCTTTACGAAGTAACTTTTTTTTTATTTTATCATCCTCTCGCATTAATAAACGAAATATAACAACATATTGGGTTTCCCAAAATGTTGCAGTGTTCTTTAGGAATATTATTGGCTCCGCATATGAATTGTGCAGTGTGCATGTCCTTAAGAATATTAAAAACCATATCACCATTTCCATCATCACTTCTTCATTATCTTGTTTTTTGTGGTTGTATTAATGTTGCATGTGATAGGCAGGTACACCGGGTATACGCGTATCAAATAAAAATGTTCTTGATAGACGAATTTCAAGGCCCGGGAGGTTGTTCGCTGTTTTGCGGTGCGTATATACAGGTTATATTAATTTAATAAAGTATTTTTCTTTACATACAGAAATTACGAATATGGTAAAAAAAAATTAATGAGTATTTAATTAAATATTATCGCTTGATGGAACGGTATTTGAAAGTTTTATATAAATTTTTAGGTTTCCGAGTTAACAGTCTGACTGGTAGGGGACAGATTTTGAAAACAACCGTTATTACCTAATTCTTATGCTGTATTTGTAACTTGAAATGCCGTTTTTACATGTTTACCCATTGTTGTTGTTTTTAATAAAATTTTGCAACTCCAACTTATTTTTATTATTTTTTCCTGTTTCATAAATACCCCATTAAATAGCTTTGTAACAACTAAAATCTTGTTGTATAATTGGGTATTTTACCGAAGGGAGTAGAAAAATAAATATAAAAATTATTGATGAAACTGTTTCACAAAAAGGAATACCTAAAAATAATTTTGGCCTGGAATTCCTCATTACCTAGTATTCGGCAATTCAGTAGCATCAGTGGATGAAGTGTATATAGAGACTGCTGTATATCCGAACAGAATTGTGCAGAATTATTTGTTTTTTGACAAATAATGATCCCAGAACGCCAACCAACCCAATAAATATATCATATATGTTTTGCAAAGTCATCCCGTAATTTAAATTAAATATTTTTTTATCATGTTTCCGTCCGTGTAAGGTTATCGCTATTACGAGGTGACTCAAAAATTTTATAGTGGTCGCACTAATTATTTTACTTACCATTAATATTGTTTTATATTCAAATAATTTCATCTCAATTATATAAAGTAAACTTACAAAATGTTAATGTTATGCTAATGTTGTATGTACAAATCTCAGATCACTAGCTATTAACAATCAAAGGGAATTTTGTTGAGTCATAAAAGTTTTATGTTTTGTAAAGGTACCTTGAGAAATCCGGGATGCTACTTATTTTGTTTCCAAACTTTTGTTACGGTGATATTTTCAATTGTTTAGACAAAAATTCTTATAAATAAATTGACATAAGCATTATTTTTTAAAGCAAAAAAAAAACATATCTACTGATTTTCTGCTCACATTTACGTCCGAATGAATTATATTATTTGTAGCGAAAATTTCATTTAGATAACTTGAACCTTCTCAAAAATGATAACAAAAATTCATTTCTTGGTGCCTCTAAAACTAACTATTTACCTTAAAAAATAGTGGAATATCTTTTGAAATATTTTGAATACAGGTTGTTTTTTGAAAAAGTTGAAATCTTAATTAGCATAAGTTGTCTATTCATTAAGTAGTATTTTACGACTGAACCCTATATCCGCTTGCGTTTGCAAGTGACTAGTCGTATTATTTATTGTCCTCTCAAATTGAAATTGAAATGGCTGGTTTATGTCGAGTGGGGATACCTCATTGAAAAATTTGGCCGCTTAATTCGTTCGTTATAAATACTATACTGTCGAACAAGTCGCATTGAGAGAAAAAGCAGAGATGGTGCTGTCATTAGATCGTTGGGTGGGCAAAGTTGCTGTGGTAACGGGGACCAGTGCTGGAATTGGTGCTGCAGTGGCGGAGGCGTTAGTAAAAAGTGGAGTTATAGTGAGTCCGTGGTGTTACCTGAGTCATACTGGGCATTTGACTAATATATTTGTTTGAAAAACATGACATGGAAGTTTTTTAGAACTTAAAATGTTGCTTGCTAACCTAACTTTAACCTTACTAACCAAAACTATTACTATTGACGTCTAGTTGACAGCTACTAATATGAATTCATTTTTAAGGTTCTTTTAATAGATATATTAATGAATTAATTTTTTACGTATTGCGATTTAACAATTTAGCAAATTAATTAAGTTTTTAAAATAAACATCATCTTTCGATGTACAAGTATGCTTGAGTTTATGTGTGCGTGTATGAAACATAAATTAGTTCTGCAGCACCTAATTTTATATTAAAAAAAAAATAAATTTACATTTCTAGGTCGCGGGATTGGCTAGACGAAGAGAACGCACCGAAGAGCTTTCTAAAAAATTGTCAGGCGAAAAAGGCAAATTACACGCGGTGAAATGTGATGTAACCAAAGAAGAAGACATATTAGAAGCTTTCAAGTGGGTTAGGGAAAATCTTGGACCGGTATCTATACTTGTCAACAACGCCGGCTTAGCGCTGGCCACTACTCTCATAGATGGTGATTCCACAAAATGGAAAACTTTATTAGGTACCGTAAAACTATTATCCGATTGTGGATATATATATATATATATATATATATATATATATATATATATTCATGAATTGATTCACGGATGGAAAAATGTGATGACACTATATTCCGCGAACGGATGATATCCCGGAATATAGTGTCATCATTATATATACATATATATATATATATATATATATATATATATATATATATATATATATATATATATATATATATATATATATATATATATATATATATATATATATATATATATATATATATATATATATATATATATATATATATATATATATATATATGATGACACTATACTCCGGGATATCATCCGTTCCCTCGTTGAACTCCGACTGGAATCCTGCATCCTACTGGAATCCTGCAAATCCTGCAAACACTTCGAAGTGTTTTCGGAGCGCGAGCATTGAAGATGCCAAGTGAGATTTTGGCGAAACGTCTGCAGGATTCCAGTCGGATGCAGGATTTGCAGGATTCCAGTAGGATGCAGGATTCCAGTCGGAGTTCAACGAGCGAACGGATGATATCCCGGAGTATAGTGTCATCACATTTTTCCATCCGTGAATCAATACGTGAGAATATATATATATATATATATATATATATATATATATATATATATATATATATATATATATATATATATATATATATATATATATATATATATATATATATATATATATATATATATATATATATCGTCATGTCTCTACATAATCAACTATTTATTGCTTAACTATTCCTTCTTGTCCATTACGATTTGCTTTGCGTAATTCCAAATTTTTCCCTTTTTCCTCAAAATCTTATCTATTCTTTCGTTTCAAGTCTTTCCAGGTCTTTCTCTGTTTGTACCTCTAGTCCCACTCCTATAATGGCTTGATATTTAATTCTGCTCTAATATCTTTATTTCTAATTTTATTGCTTCTCGTTACTCTCTTGATTTTCCTCACCTAATTCATTTCAGCGACACCACTTTACCCTTCTTTCTTTCGGACAATACCCATACTTCATATCCATATGCAGGATCGGCCTTGTAGACTAGTACTTGTATTTCTTGATACTTTGTTGTTGATTACTCAGTGCGTGGTACACCTTGTACTAAAATCAGCTTTCTGATTACCTTTCTCTTTAAGTATTACTCCTAAGTGTTAGAAACTACTAACCTGTTCAATTAGCTCTCCATTCAAAGTAATGTTCTTGTGCCTATTTTCTTCTGCCATTACCTTAGATTTAGCTGAATACGCTTGCAATCCATTTTCCTTAAGTAAATCATTTCAAATAATCAAATTGCTTTGCAAATCTGTTTCATTTCCCCCTATGATAGCTATGTCGTCTACAAATGCTCATTCTGAGATTTCTATAGCCACATAATATGGTCGCAAACTCAACATAACCCGTTTTTCAGATACGAATGTTCTTGGCCTTTGCATTTCCACAAGGGAGACGATTAAAGATATGAAAGCTCACAACATTGATGGTCACGTAATTCATATGAACAGTATTGGAGGTCAAAGAGTCGTCTTCTTTCCAGTTTCGAACGTTTACCCAGCCAGCAAATTCGCCGTTACAGCTCTAGCGGAGACTTTGAGATACGAGATAAATAGTCAGAATCTTAAAATTAAAATAACTGTTAGTATTTGATTAATATTATTTTATTACTTTTTATATTTTCGCTGAATTTAGTTAAATATTTGGTTGAAGAAATAAAAAATTATATTAATCAGCCGCTCAGGAACTATAAAAAAAATGTTCTTAGAGTGTGAGTCCTGGACTGGTTGATACAGAAATTCTTCAAGCCAGCTTTGGAGATGCCTTTGACACAGGCTCGTTAGATCTGACCTGTGCACTGCGATCCGAAGATATAGCTGACGCTGTTTTGTACGCACTATCCACACCTCCACACGTACAGGTATCTAACATAAAAAGCTTTTCACATTATTAAGAAGTTTTAGATTGTACTTATGTATTTTGAAATATTCCATCATATATAAAATGACGAAATTTAATTTTTCTTGAAGAAAAAATAGTTAGTGCTTTTTGTTAAATAGCATGGTGAAATTGCTTGAATTCCAGAAAAATAAATTTTTGAAATAAAAAATTATACTAAGAATAATATATATGATACAAGAGATTCCCTTCTACTTTGTCTTTTTCAGTTAAAACTTAGTAATGCTAAAAATGTGTAATTAATTTTTTTAAACATATTCTTAATGAAATATCATTAAAAAATATCATCTTAAATAGAAAAAAGTACATTCACTTGAATAATCTTATAACACCTTTTACTGAGACTGTTTTTGAATGTTTTGTATTTCTTGAAGAAAAAAACGTTATTGCTTTTTGTTAAATAGCATGGTGAAAGTTTTCAGAAGAATAACTTTTTCAAATAAAAAATTATACTAAGAATAATAAGTAACATATAAGATAGTAGCAGTTTTTTTTAGTTAAAATTTTTTAATATGTGTTTAATTTTTTTAAATATATTCTTAATGAAATATTAATTAAAAATATATCATTGCCTCCAAAAACAAAACTCATGTTAAATAAAAAAAAATTATATTACTTGAATTATGTTACAACATTTTTTACTGAGACTGTTTTTGAATGTTTTGTATAAATTTTTAGGTTTCGGAGGTTACAGTCCAACCGGTAGGGGAGAAATTTTGAGAGCAACAAAAAAATATGCATGCCACAACTATAATTTGTTATGTTTTTTTCAACTGGTTACCTATTGTATAAGATCAGTTAATGTTTTTAAATATATTATTTATATGCACAAGTGAAAGTTTTTATAAAATAGAGCAATTAAAAAAAAAACGAAAATAGGTAAGAAATAAGTTCAAAATTTATTGGTAAAACCGTTTCATAATAAGGAATAAAAATATTTTTTTCAAGATTTTTCTCATTCTTAGTACATTTAGCTTATCTAGCAATTCTTTGACAATACATGGTATCCATAAAGTGTACATTGAGACTGCCTTATATTTGAAAATGTATGTGAAGGCTATTTACAAAACTTCTGCATTGGTACTGCGACGTATGTTGATGAATCTAGAAACTAATAATATCCAATTCTTAGATATTCTTATCAATAGAAAATCGACCTAACATCGGCTACGGATACAGTTCGATACCCAATACCTACCACATCACCATCCGGACCAAAATCATGGATTATCAACTCTCTTGTTTAGAGAACCACAAAACCGTCTCCATCAGGCCCAGTGAATCCAGAATTAGAAACATCTTATATCTGTTCTTATCTCCAATCATTTCTACTTTATGAGAGTGAATCCGAAAGCAACCACACACTTGCTTGCCACTTTGCACTGTGCACTGTGTACCAACTGGCCCAAAAACCGTTGGTTATCAACTATCTTGTTTACAGATCAGAGCAGTAAAACTACCTAAACCCTAATCATTGATCTGCTTTCCCCTATAATAATTTCCAAATTAGAGATATTAAGTGTTCCATCACAAAATACACTTCACCACAATCTTCCAAAGAAAATGAGTCCGAAAGCAACCCCAAACTTGTCACTGTTGTCCTTCCTTAAATTCAAAACAACACTGATCACATGTCATAAGTTCTTAAGATATATAAATAAAAAAAAAAAAGATTTACCACTTGTCCAAAAATCTCTTAACATCTTCGATCCATCAAAGACAAAATTCCGTTTGAGATACCAGGAGTTTACAGCATTTCATGCATATGCGGCAAAGAATACATTGGAGAGACCGGACGAAAAATATCAACTAGGCACACAGAACATGAAAGCGCCAACACAAACATAATCACGAAACCGGACATAAAATTTGTATTTGATAAAACTAAAATTCTTGCATAAAGTCATTTTTTTTACCAACGAAAAATCCGAGTGCCTACAGAAATCTATAAGCAACCAAACATCCCAGACAATGTTCATTTGGCTTCATCATTGAAGGTTTGCCATGATGACACCAATTATTTCACTCACCATTTTTATTATTTTATACCCAAACCATTTTTATTTATTTCAGTTAAAGGAGACTTATAAAAGCTGATACCGACAAAGTTTGCTCTTGTGACATAAATGACATAAAGCAGGTACTAAAGCTGATACCGACAAAGTTTGCTCTTGTGACATAAATGACATAAAGCAGGTACTATCGTTTAAAGTAAAAAATAGTGCTTTTCTGCTCGTCGATGGTAACTGTTATGGACCAACCAATGAATTATTTTTAGTCTGCTATATTTAGACTTTTTAATAATTTAATAACTCTCTCGGGTTTTGGGAAACGAACTAGAAGGGTCCATGCGGTTCAAGACACATGGAGATCCTGTAGTATAAATTTTATCTCACCAAAACAATTTTTGTTGAGTATAGTAAAAATGAACCAAAAGAAAAGTTTTTTTAATATTCTATTTACCATAACAATTGGCGGAATATTTGAACTGAGGTGGCTTTTACTTGATGAAAATCCATTTAGCAAAATAAATAAGAACTAAAAGTTCAGATTTTCACGAAATTATATATTATGACATGACAATTGTTTCTTTGTGTCTTTATCAAATGTAATATTTACAAACTACCTGCTACTATATATACCGAAAAATGACAATAAAACCTTAATTAATCTTGTTGTGAGAATTTAAGTTCAATAAAGGAGAGATATGTAAATCTAATTGATCGTTAAGCAATACATTTGAATGTCTCATTTTGTTAATCTCCATGGCTTCCAATAAATTTAATTTTCTACTTTTTGTGGCTGTATGTAAAATATCAAAATTGTCGTCAAAAATGTGTTTTTCTGTGTTTAAGTGTGTAGCATAATTAGAATCTAAACTATTGTTTCAAAACGCTCTTTTATGTTCGTCAATGCGTTTCTTGAAGGATCTACCTGTTTGTCCAATATAAATTTTAGGACAAGATCCACATTTCAACCTATAGACACCTGATTTTTGGGATTTTGGACATTTAGTTTTATTGTTTTTTAAATAGTTTCCTATTGTGTTGTTAGTTCTGAAAGCTATTTTTAAACCACATTTTGACAAATGTTTTGAAACTTTTTCACTAGGTTCTCCTATGTATGTAATTGTTTTAAATTGTTCGTGTTCTGTACTAGGTTTCGGATAAATAGAGTTTACTGTTGTCTGTATTTGTTTTTTATTTATAATTTTATCTATAATGGACGGATTGTAGCCGTTGTTCAGTGCAATTTGTTTAATGATATTAAGTTCTTTGTTGTAATTTTCTGTCGAGAGTGGCGTATTATGTATGACTGTGCCCGCGTGTGTGAAGGTTTATGATATATTGAAAAATCTAATTTGTTTTGAGCTTTTGTAATAGTTAAGTCTAAAAAATAATAATAATAATAGAGTTATCCTGTTCAATCTCGATAGTGAATTTTATACGATTATGTAATGAATCAATGTAATTTAAAAAAGAATTCAATTGTCTGCCCGTTCCAACAAAGCAAGCAAAGATATCATCCACGTATCTATACCACCAAAAAAAACTTTTACTTAAAGGATGTTCTAGTATGATATTTTCCAAATTACCCATAAAAATCTCGGCTAACAAAGGACTAAGTGGGTTTCCCATAATCAAACCTTCTTTAGAGATATAAATCTGTCCATTAAATTCAAAATAATTTTGCTCTAAAGATACTATTAAGCAATCTAATAAATCTTGTTTCGCCAATGGGTTAACCTGTTTCCGAGTTAGGGTAAAATCTACTAAATCTATCACATCCATAGGTGGAATACTGGGAAATAAGTTTTGTATATCAAAAGACAATAGTGTTGCGTTAAAACGAATTTTTATATTTTTAATTTTGTTGATTAATTCAAAAGAATTTTTTATTGCAAATTTTGGTTTAAAATCTGTGTGGAACTTTAAAATATTTATTAAAGACACGGTGTTGTCGAAACAATTGTCATGTCATAATATATAATTTTGTGAAAATGTGAACTTTTAGTTCTTATTTATTTTGGCGGAATATTTTTTGAAACACGCTGTATTTTTGGAAAGTGTTGACATCTTCATATTTTTGTCTATTAATTAGCATCAGTTGCCCATTTGTAACGTATTATTTTATAACTGAACCCCGTATCCGCTGGCACGTGAGTAGTCATTTCGTTTATCGTCCTCCAAAAAAGCCGGTTTTCCTTGAGTGGGGATATCTTTATTGTAGAATTTTGCGACTTAATATTTATTATAAATGTCATAGTGTCGCAGAAGTCGCGTTGAAGTAAAAAGCAGAATGGTGCTGTCATTGGATCGCTGGGTAGGCAAAGTTGCTGTCGTAACGGGAACCAGTGCCGGAATTGGTGCTGCAGTGGCGGAGGCGTTAGTAAAAAGGGGAGTTATAGTAAGTCCATGGTTATACTGAGCGTTTTACAATGATGCTATACATTTGCTTGAAAACCGTGTTTCAAGAAAAGCTTATAAATTTATTTAACAAAGAATGGTGAAATTCAATTTTTCCACTTTAGTTTACAAGTATTTAATTAGTAAAAATTCATAAAAAGCAAAAAAAAAAGGTAAAATTGCATCTAGCTGACAGCTACTAATATTACCAAGCTTTTTCATAGCTACTTTGAAGGACAATAGCTATAAATAGAGCTTTTACGAGTTACGGTTTAGCAATTTATCAAATTAGTTAAATAAGCAGTTTTCAATAGCTATTGATTTACCTGCCATACAAATGTTCAACATATTTCGATGTACAAGTATGTTTGAGTCTATGTGTGCATTTCTGAAACATAAATTGTTGGTCTAACACCTAATTTCATTTCATTAGTTAAAAAAAAACAATTTTAATTTCTAGGTCGCCGGACTGGCTAGACGAAAGGAACGCACGGAAGAGCTTTCTAAAAAATTGACAGGCGAAAACGGAAAATTACACGCGGTAAAATGTGACTTAACCAAAGAAGAAGACATCTTAGAAGCTTTCAAGTGGGTTAGAGAAAATCTTGGACCGGTATCTATACTTGTCAACAACGCAGGATTAGGGCAGGCCACCACTCTGATAGATGGGGATCTCGCGAAATGGAAAGCTATAATAGGTGCTGTAACTATTATCCGATTATAGACATAATGGTGCTAATAATTTGAAGCAAGCTAAAAATAATTCTTCTTTCAGATACGAACGTTCTTGGTCTTTGCATTGCCACAAGGGAGGCGATTAAAGACATGAAAGCTAACAACATTGAAGGTCACGTAATTCACATAAACAGTGTTGCAGGTCACAGGGTCGTATTCATTCCAGTTTCGAACGTGTACCCCGCTAGCAAATTCGCCGTTACGGCTCTCGCGGAGACATTGAGACACGAGATAAATAACCAGAATCTTAGAATCAAAATAACTGTTAGTACTAGATTAATATTAAGTTATAACTTTTTATACTTTTATTAAATAACATTGAAATGTTTTGGTGAAGCAAAAAAAAACTATATTAGTCAGACGGTACAAGAGACAATAAGAATAAAACATTAGTTCTTCTTAGAGCGTTAGTCCTGGATTCGTAGAAACAGAAATTATTCAAGCCAGCTTTGGAGATGCACTTGACACAAGCGCTCTCGATCTGACCTCTGCACTCCAACCTGAAGATATTGCCGACGCTGTTCTATACGCACTGTCCACACCTCCGCATGTACAGGTACGTAATTTAAAAAACTATTCATATTATTTATTATTTTTAGTACTAATTTATTTTGAAATACGTAATATTTTTTACGTTGTTTTAAAAATGACGAAGTTGAACTTTTCGAATAGTACTTTTTTAAAAACACGATGATGAAATTGATCGAATTGCGAACGATTTTTTTAAAAATAAAAAATGTAACTAAGAATCACATCCTTTATGGTCGCCATACAATTTTTTGTATCTGTAAAAATAAGAAATACGGTAAAAAAAAGTTCATGGAACTTCTTACATTTTTTTAACTGACACGGTGTTTGAATGTCTTGTATATATTTTTAGGTTTCCGAGGTTACGGTTCAACCGGTAGGAGAGAAATTTTGAGAGCGACGAAAAAATCTGCGTTCGTTATTAACGTATCCCTTTTGTTATATTTGTAATTTGTAAGGCCTTTTTTTACCTGTGTGCCTATTGTACTATTGTTTGTTACTAAATTATATAAATTCTAACTTGTTTCCATTATTTCAATAATAACGACTTTGTAAAAAATACAATTTGTATCATATACATGAAAGTGTTCATGATCGATGAATTTCAAAGAAAGTTGTTTGCAGCTCTGCGGTGCGTATATCTGTCAATATGTCAATCAGGGCGATATGGGAAAATTACAAAAAAGTTGCTGTTGAGCAAACCAAGAAATCCCATCACTCCTGAAGATACGCTGCAAAAACCGAAATTTGCCGATTTCATTTCTATATTTTTCTGATGTTCTTTAAAATGCTACTTTAAATTGTACTTGAAATATCCCAAGGCAATCCTGAACAGCTCAAAAAGTCGAAACGAGATATTGACTTTTATTCTGTTATATCTCTTGGACACACAATATATTATAAATGTTTCGAGTGAAGTGCATTAAAGTGTTTTGTTGCAAACAGCCGATCAACTTTTATGGGTAGTCTTCATTGAATGCGGTGTAAATACTGATTGATAAATTCATTTGCTTCGCTAATAACGTTTCTAAACAACTCTGCGAAAATTTGGGCAACCCAATATATTGTTAGGTAATTCTAGAATTATTGCCGAGTAGAAAACGAACTGTCAAGGAATAATGATTGTTTCTGAAATTAATATGAAGTAAAAAAATGTAAATTATTTTAAACTTAACTTTCGTCAGCAGTAACTTTTATGACCCATCCATTATATTTGTCTAAATTTACTTTAGGTATCTTCAACTGTTTCAGGAATAATAATAAAAAACAATATTATATTTACCCTAGAAATTAGCTGAATATCTTTTGAAATACCCTTTATACTTCGAAAAAACTTGACATCTTGAAATTTTTCTCTTATTAATTACCAGTTGTTCATAACGTATGATTTTGCGCGTGACCTCGGAATCTGCTCGCAAGTGAGTAGTCATTTTGTTTATCGTCCTCTCAAATTGTAATTGAAAAAGCGGGTTTTCGTCGAGCGGGGAGATTGTCGAGTAACTATCGTTGAGAGGAAAAGCAGAAATGTTGCTGTCATTGGATCGTTGGGTGGGCAAAGTTGCCGTGGTAATGGGCAAACATTAGAAATTTCTTTTTAGGTTTCCGAAGTGATTGTTCAATCAGCAGGAGAGATATACTGAACAATATCTACGATACGACAATCACAAATCAAATATAATGTATTATATTTTAACTTGTAATGAATAACAATAAACTATTCAAGCGGAAAGATCGGAATTTTTATAAATATATTGTTGGTAACATTTTTAAAATTGATTTTTTACATCAATAATGACTTTTAATAACATTCCAAACGACATACTAAAAATTTCAAAATTTAAACAATGCTCAAAACATTATCATGAATACAAAAGTTTTGAAAATTATCAGATGGCTCAGATATATAATTTTTCATATACATTCCATTTATCTGTCTCTCGAAAACAATTATACCAAAAAAGTAATAATAATAATAATAATAATATAAAAGGGTACCGTTAATTAAACGAACATTCTAACAGGAGATCAAGCTAAAAAATACTAAGAATTTCTCAAAATTACAAACTAAATTCTGCTAATAATTGCGGCTGACAGAAGGTCAAATTTTTATAGTAATATCAAAGTGGTATTTTATAAATATGTTTTTCTACTCTCCCCTGTAAAATTCCTAAATATACACCGATCTAGAGCGCGGCCAGCGTCACTTTGCCACATCAGTTTCGGATGTTTTGGGAGATATTTCCCACACTTTGAATTTTGACGTTTGTCAATTCTGACGGTCATGTCAGTGAATGTATTTGTGTTGTTTTGCGAAAATGTACCCAAAAACTAACGGTCGTAGAAAAAGTATAGTATGCAACACGTTCGGTAAACTTTTAATTCACTCGTTTATTAAACACTCTCTCCGCTCGTACTAAATAAACTCGTGGGTTAAATGCCGTTTACCGCATTTCTTGCGTGATGTACATACTTCTATTAATAATTTCCAGCATTTCGGACAACAACAAAAAAATTAAAACCGAAACAATCAGAATAGTATCATGAAACAAGTGTGGTAAGCGGCATTTGTCACGACTTCATTTGGCAAGCGTGAAGCAAACTATGTATACTATGTTTTTTCTACGACCGTTAGTTTTTGGGAACATTTTTGCGAAACAACACGAATACATTCACTAACATGACCGTCAGGATTGACAAAAGTCAAAATTCAAGCCGTACGGTAATATCTCCGAAAACATTCGATTGCTCCCAAAAATGACACTTTCCGCACTCTAGATCGTCGTATAATTTTACCTAAGGGAGTAGAAAAACAAATATAAAACTTATTCATGAAACTGTGTCACAAAAAGGAATACCTAAAAATAGTTTTGTCCTGGAGGTTCTCATTACCTAGTACTTGGCAATTTTTTCATATTTCTTTTGAAACGTAAAAATCGTATCAGTGGATGAAGTGTACGTAGAGACTACTTTATATCCGAACATAATTGTGCAGAATTACTTGTTTTTTGGCAAATGATGACCTCAGAACCTCAAGCAAGCACAATAAATATGTCATATATTTTGTTTGCAAAGTCATCCCGCAATTTAAATTAAATATTTTTTAATCATATTTCCGTCCATGTAAAGTTATTGCTATTACGAGGTTACTCAAAAATTTTATAGTAGTCGCACTAATTATTTCACTTCCCATTATTATTCTTTTATATCCAAAGTAATTTTTATTCATCTCAATTATATAAAACATACTCAAAAAATTTTAATGTTATGCTAATGTAATATGTAGAAATCTCAGTTCACTAGCTGTTAACAATCCATCAACAATATTTTGTATAGGAGTCCTGGGAACATATCTCCTGCTTTTCTGTTCATCAGCAGTAACTTTTATGACCGAACGAATTATATTATTTTTATTTCCTTCGCAAAAAAAGATAACAAAAAATAATTTATTTAGCCTAAACATTAGCGGAATATATTTTTTTAACATTTCGAATACAGAGTAGGTTTTGAAAAAGTTTTCATCTTCAAATTTTTATTTTCTAATTAGCATGAATTGTCCATTCGTAACGTATTATTTTACGACCGAACCCTGTATCCCCTCGAGCTTGCAAGTGACTAGTCATTTCACCTTATCAGCTTTGTCCAAATTGTTGGAAACTACTAACCTGTTCAATTAGCTTTCCCTTCAAAGTAATGTTCGTGTTTCTATTTTCTTCTGCCACTACCTTAGTTTTAGCTTTCAATCCACTTTACTTCAGGATGTCATTGCAAATTATGAAACTGCCTAGCAATTCTGAGTCACTTCTCGCTGTGATAGCTATGTCGTCTGCAAATGCTGATTCAGTGATTTCTATAGCCCACATAAAATGATCACAAATTCAACATAAACCGTTTTTCAGATACGAACGTTCTTGGTCTTTGCATTGCCACAAGGGAGGCGATTAAAGACATGAAAGCTCACAACATTGATGGTCATGTAATTCATATGAACAGTATCGGAGGTCAAAGAGTCGTATTCTTTCCAGTTTCGAATGTTTATCCAGCTAGCAAATTCGCCGTTACGGCTCTAGCGGAGACTTTGAGATACGAGATAAACGAGATAAAAATTTCATAAATATTTGGTTGAAGAATCAAAAAACTATATTAATCAGCCGCTCAGGGCTATAAAAACCATTGTTCTTAGAGTGCGAGTCCTGGACTGGTTGATACAGAAATTCTGCAAGCCAGCTTTGGAGATGCCTTTGACACAGGCTCGTTAGATCTGACCTGTGCACTGCGATCCGAAGATATAGCTGACGCTGTTTGATACGCACTATCCACACCTCCACACGTACAGGTATCTAACATAAAAAGCTTTTCACATCATTAAGTAGTTTTAGATTGTACTTATGTATTTTGAAATATTCATTCATATATAAAATGATGAAACTCAATTTCTCTTGAAGAATAAATCGTTTTTGCTTTTTGTTAAACAGCATGGTGAAATTGCTTGAATTCCAGAAAAATAAATTTTTGAAATAAAATATTATACTAAGCACAATATGCATGATATAAGGGATTTCATTGTATTTTGTCTTTTTCAGTATTTTTCAGTTAAAACTTTGTAATGCTAAAAATGTGTGATTAATTTTTTTAAACATGTTCTTAATGAAACATCATTAAAAAATATCATGTTAAATAAAAAAAAATACATTACTTGAATAATCTTACTGAGACTGTTTTTGAATGTTTTGTATATATTTTTAGGTTTCCGAGGTTACAGTTCAACCGGTAGGGGAGAAATTTTGAGATCAACCGTAATTACCGAATCCCTTTTGCCATAGTTGAAATATTTACTACTTGTCCAAAAATTTCTCAACATCTTCGATCCGTCAAAGACAAAATTTCGTTTGAGATAAAATCAACTAGACTTAAAGCCTGAAAGAGCCTTAAGACTACGACAAATGAACTCATCAGCAGTTGCCTAAAACTCTATAGAAATCTATGGGAGTCAGTCATCCGAGACAATGTTCATGTCCCTCATTTAGCTTCGCCGTGGAAGGTTTGTCCCTATTACTCAGAAATTTTGTAGAGATGGCATCAATTATTTTACTCATCACTATTATTCTTTTATATCCAAACCATTTTTATTTATTTCAATTAAAGTAGACATATAATATGGTAATGTTGTATGTAGAAATCTTAGATCACTGGTAATCAATAATCAAAAGAAATCTTATTGGGTCATAAAAGCTGCTACGGATAAAATTTTGATATTTTGTACAAGAGGGTAGCGAAATCCGGAGTGCTACTTATTTAGTCCCTAAATTTGTTGTGGTGACATAAATGACATAAAGCAGGTAAATAGTGCCTTTCTGCTCGTAAATGCCATAACTGTTAGGAACCAATCAATAAATTATTTGTAGTCTGTTAGATTTAAACAATTAATAAATTAATAACACACTGGGGTTTGGGAAAGGACCGTGAACATTCTGAAGGTCTCCTTTATCTGAGGCTTACGCAGCGAACCACCACATTGACCAAATGTGTATTTTAATTTATGTAACGAACCACTTCAGAAGTGATAACAAAAAAACAGTATTTAGGGGTCTATAATTAAAATGGACCAAAAGTAACGTTTTTCAATATTTTATTTACCCTAACAATAAGCGGAATATTTTTATAAACACCCTGTATTTTTCGAAGTGTTGACATCTTCATATATTTCTCTATTGATTAGCATCCATCCATTTGTATTACTTTACAACTGAACCCCGTATCCGCGCGCACGTAATTGTAATTGAAAAAAAGCCAATTTCCGTCGAGTGGGGATGTCTTATCGAGGAATTTTACAACTTGATGCTTATTATAAATACTATACTGTCGAGTAAGCTTCGTTGAAAGGAAAAGTCGAAATGGTGCTGTCATTGGATCGTTGGGTGGGCAAAGTTGCTGTGGTAACGGGAACTAGTGCTGGAATTGGTGCTGCAGTGGCCGAAGCGTTGGTAAAAAGTGGAATTATAGTAAGTCCGTGGTGATATAGTGGGAAATACTGAGTTTTAACAACTATTCTATACATTTGCTTGAACTCCATGTTTCAAGAAAAGCTTATAAAGTTATTTAACATAAGATGGTGAAATGCAATTTTTCCATTACAGTTTACAAATATTTAATTAGCCAAAATTCATAAAAAGCAAAAAAAAGGTTTAAATGTACGAGAAATAACTACTGACACCTGCTAATATTACCAAGTGTTTTCATAGGTACTTCATAGAACTATTGCTATAAATAACTTTTTTAGAAATTATTTTTATAGCACCTCATTTGATATTTTAAAAAAAATAATTTCTAGGTCGCCGGATTAGCTAGACGAAAGGAACGCACCGAAGAACTTTCTAAAAATTTGTCAGGCGAAAAAGGAAAATTACACGCGGTAAAATGTGACTTAACCAAAGAAGAAGACATCTTAGAAGCTTTCAAGTGGGTGAGAGAAAATCTTGGACCGATATCTATACTTGTGAACAACGCAGGATTAGGGCAGGCCACTACTCTGATAGATGGCGATTTCGCGAAATGGAAAACCGTAATAGGTGCTGTAACTATTATGCGATTATGATCATGATGGCTCTAATAATTTCAAACAATCTCAATACTCTTTCAGATACGAACGTTCTTGGTCTTTGCATTGCAACAAGGGAGGCGATTAAAGACATGAAAGCTAACAACATTGATGGTCACGTAATTCACATCAACAGTGTTGAAGGCCACAGGGTCGAATTCGTTCCGGTTATAAACGTGTACCCCGCGAGCAAATTCGCAGTTACGGCTCTCGCGGAGACATTGAGACACGAGATAAACAACCAGAATCTTAAAATCAAAATAACTGTTAGTACTACTTTAATATTATTTTATAACTTTTTGTATTTATATTAAAAAACATTTAAATATTTGGATGAAGCAAAAAAACTATTTGAGTCAGACCGTACAAGAGACAATAAGAATAAAACATTCCTTGTTCTTAGAGCGTTAGTCCTGGATTGGTAGCTACAGAAATTATTCAAGCCAGCTTTGGAGATGCACTTGACACAAGCGCTCTAGATCTGACCTGCGCACTCCAATCTGAAGATATCGCCGACGCTGTTCTGTACGCACTGTCCACACCTCCACATGTACAGGTATATAACGTAAAAAACTATTTATATTATTAATTATTTTTAGTACTTATTTATTTTTCAATATGTAATATTGTTTATGTTATTTTAACCATGGCGAAACTCATGTATTCTAATAGTAAAAAATTGTTATTACTTTTTTAAAACAGCAGGATGAAATTGTTTAAATAAAAAATGTTACTAAGAATCACATTCTTCATGATCGCCATACACCTTTTTGTATCTGTAAAAATTACGAATACGGTAAAAACAATCATGGAATTTCTTACATTTTTTTTTTACTGACACGATGTTTGAATCTCTTGGATATATTTTTAGGTTTCCGAGGTTACAGTTCAACCGGTAGGAGAGAGATTATGAGAGCGACGAAAAAAGTTGCGCCCATTATTACCGTATCTCTTTTGCTGTGTTTGTAATTTGACAATGCATTTTTTTTTCTTATTGTATACCATCAGTTATTGTTTTTAATTAAATTATATAAATTGCAACTTCTTTCCATTATTTCAAAAATACCACATTTAACGACTTTGTAAAAAATACAATTTGTTTCATACAATTATTAATAATAAATAATAATTTGAGTGCGTAACCGATGTATCAGTGGATGAAGTTTACGTAGAGATCGCCTTATATATTCGAACATGTATGTTTTTAGCAAATAATAATCTTAAAAAGCTAAGCAAATCCAAGTCCGCTTTGTATTAAAGCTTTCGGTATATCTCAGTTCGTTTCTGTTACCGCGACGACCTTGGCAACCGATAAAAGTGGATCAGCTGTTTACAGCTAAACACTTTAACGCACTTTACTCGAAATATTTACAATACATAGTATGTCCAAGAGTTATAACAAAACAAAGGCCACTTTCTCGTTGCGACTCTTTGAGCTGTCCAAGATGGCGTTGAGATTTTAAGTATAAACAATTTTCAGTTTTTGTGGCGTATCTTCGGAAGTGATGTGAATTTTTTAGTTTTCTCAGCAGCACGGTATTACCTTTAAATTTTGCAAAATTTTTGTAATTTAGCGATACGTCGGTAAAATGCCACGTAATAGTAAGCGCTTGAGGATTTATCTGAAATAGCAGAGATATTGGCAATATCAAGTAAGTGTCTTTAAATAAATATAGATTAACTAAAATTGGGATACCGTTTATTCATAAAAAAATATTTCAGAGAAAAGCGTAGCAGCACGATTGAAGAATAAAAAGGACACGTATCGACGTGAGTTGAAAAAACTTGCAACATCCTGTTCTGGAGATGGAGCCAGCAACATTTCATTTTTTAGCAATGTTTCCGAATGATCTCTTTTCTAAAACATCTGATGACCCCAGCCATCAAAAGTGTCGCGAAATGAGACTTGGAAACTGAAGCAATCATCAGTCTGTTGGCCAAAATCATACTTGGAGACCTGAACCAGAAAAACTTGGAAAATCCCACATCAACAGCGTACAACATTTCCACTACCAACTAATATCTTCTGTTCATTTTTAAGAATTTGATATGTTGTTTTTTTTTAATAAACACAGCAATATAACTAAATATTTTTCTTTTACCTTATACTATTAAGTAGTTCTGTAGATGTAATTGAGCATTTTTTTACATAATTTATAATTGTTTTCTCCAAGGCGGGGTCAACCGTTTCCAATAAGTAATCAAATGTTTTAACATTCTAAGGTAGTTCCAAAATCGGTCCGTATACATTCTCAATTTATAATAATAGTGGTGGAATTCACCAAACAACCCTTGTTAAATATTTGTGCTTAATTTCATAGCTTTCAGTTAGTGCGCGTGCCTGTAACTTATAATAAGGTTCCGTGCAGGGTGCCTTTGCTTGTAAGCTGAACAGTAGACACAGCCCTAAAATAAAGCAATCTTGTTGGTATTAAGAATGTCGGGATAATTTGTTTTTTTTTGCGAAAATACAGTATTAGTCATATTTCGGCGTTTTATTTTACCGCAAAATTGTGTTATTGAATATTAACAAAGACTGAGATTATGTTGTTTTCGCTTAGGGATTTGAACAAGAGCTTATTGGTTAGAATGCAGCATAAATCGATTAATCAGACTAAGGTTGTCAAGTATTTGTGTTTGTTCATAGACAGCAATTTGTCCTGGACAGGCCAAATTGACTACGTATTAAACAAAATGCTGCGACGGGTATGTTCCATCTTGTTTATCTGACGCTATTATATGCTGGGGAAACTCATCCAGAGCTAGTGAAGTTTTTGTCCAACAAAAACGTATTTTTCGAACAATGTTGGGGAAGTCTCGCGGTCACTCTAGTGGAACCCTGTTCCCAAAATTAAATACTTTAACGTTTCCCTCTCTCTTTATAATAAATAGCATAATTTACATAAATAGTATTCTATATAATAATTGCATGACCAGAATTGATGGAGATTACAATTTCAGAGCTAATCTTAATTTGCAGGTGCCAAGTCATAAGTTAGCCAAAGTAGCTCTATGATTTTACCAATAAAACTGTGTAATAATAAGTCCATTTATTTAATTAAAAATTAAAGCTCATTTGAAATAAGAACGTTTTTTATTCTATCGAAGAATACTTTGATAGTAGTAATGTCGGTCTCTTAGTACGACATACTTTGTGTGTTTGTAAGTATCTGTTTCTAAAGTGTGTATTTTAGTGTTCTAATGTATTTTTTTTACTTGTTGACATTATCCGATACTTTTGTTAAAAGTCAATGGAAATAAACGTTATTATTATTATTATTATTATCATTATTATTATTATTATTATTATTATTGTTATTATTATTATTATTATTATTATTATTATATTATTAACGTATGATATGGAGTATCCACTAATAAAAACAAACAATTTGCAAATATTGAATAATCGACGCTTCATAGATGTTCATAGATGCGACGCTCCCAGTCTAAAATACCAATCGTGACGCGATGTACGCCGCTCCTACTCTGAACAGTCCTTAATGGTTTGGACAGACTGTATACGCATCGCGGAGCAGCAAGCAATCTTCCGGCCTTGAAATTCATTGATCCTGAACGCTTTTATTTGATACCCATCATTTACACGGTGTATCTGCCGACCATGCGATATTAAATCAAACCCAAAAAAAACAAGATAATGAATGGAAATGGTGACATGGTGGTTTTGAGTAATCTTAATTAAATGCAGAGTACTCTGACTAAACAATTCGTATGCTTAGCTAATAACATTTGTAAACAACGACAATTTGGACCACCCAATATATTGTTAGGTAATTTTAGAATTGTTACCGAGTGGAGAACGAAGTGTCGAGGAATAATTATTGTTTTAGAAATTACTATCAAGTAAAAATACCATAAATTATTTTGAATTTAACTTTCATCAGCAGTAAGTTTTATCATCCATCCATTGTGGTCTAAATTTAATTTAGGTATCTTTAAATGTTTCAAGAGTAATAGAAAAGAAAACAATATTATATTCACCCTAGAACTTAGCTGAAAATGTTTAGAAAAAATTCGGAAAAGATTGACAACTTGAAATTTTTCTCTAATAAATTACCAATTGTTCATAACGTATGATTTTGCGCGTGACCTCGGAATCTGCTCGCAAGTGAGTAGTCATTTTGTTTATCGTCCTCTCAAATTGTAATTGAAAAAGCTGGTTTTCGTAGAGTGGGGATGCCTTATCGAGGAATTTAGCGAGTTAAGGCTAATTATAAATACTAAACTGTCGAGTAAGCATCGTTGAGAGAAAAAGCAGACATGGTACTGTCATTGGATCGTTGGGTGGGCAAAGTTGCCGTGGTAACGGGGACCAGTGCCGGAATAGGTGCTGCAATTGCGGAAGCGTTAGTAAAAAGTGGAGTTATAGTAAGTTCGTGGTGATGTAACGAGTTATACAGGGCGCTTAACACAGACGTTGCAATGTTTGTATATGCTGAATATGTTTGTTTGGAAACCATGTTTCAAGACCGGTTTAGAGATTTATTTGGAAAATGCTAAAATTCAATTTTTCCTATTGTAAATAAATTCGTACCAACGACCAACTTTTAAAATATTTATATGTATCTTATATTTTACAAATATTTCGTTAATAAACATTCAGACTAGCAAAAATAATATCAAAATGTGAATAACTGTACATCTAGTTGAGAGCCACTAATATCACATTTCTTAGTTGCTACTTTGGATAACAATTATATCAATGAATTGTTTTTTTAAGATTTAGCAATGAAATTAAATAAATAAGCATTTTTAACAGTTCTTATCCACCTGCTATACTTCACAAAACTTACCCGGCATATTTCGTTGTGCAATTATAATAAAAATAAATTAAAATGTTTAGGTGGCAGGATTGGCTAGACGAAAGGAACGCACAGAAGAGCTCTCTAAAAAATTGTCAGGCGAAAAAGGAAAATTACACGCGGTAAAATGTGACGTAACCAGCGAAGAAGATATAGTACAAGCTTTCAAGTGGGTCAAAGAAAATTTGGGACCGGTGTCTATCCTTGTGAACAACGCTGGCCTAGCACAAGCGACTAGCCTGATAGATGGAGACACTGCAAAATGGAAAAAAGTTCTAGGTAATGTGGTTCGGCAAAACTTAATTTCAAAAGCAGTTTTCTGAATACTTGACTATTTAGATACCAACGTTCTTGGCCTCTGCATAGCTACGAGAGAGGCAATCAAAGATATGAAAGCGAATAACATTGCGGGTCACATATTCCATATCAACAGCGTAGCAGGCCACAAAGTCGTTGCCCCACCAATATTGAATATCTACTTCGCTAGTAAATTCGCCGTCACAGCACTAGCGGAGACCTTGAGGTATGAGATCAACAGCCAGAACCTCAAAATCAGGATAACGGTTAGTAAAAATAAAGAAATAAATAAATAGGCTGCTCGAGGTGAGATAGAGTAATTCGGCTAACAACTATTTATTTTAAGAGCGTTAGCCCTGGATTGGTGGAAACGGAAATCCTTGAAGTCAATTTCGGGAATGTCCTAGATCTAAACGCCCCAGAACTGAAAATTGCACTTAAATCTGAAGATATTGCTGACGCTGTTATCTATGCACTCTCTACCCCGCCACACGTACAGGTATACCATAAAGTCCACAGCTGTTTTTTTACTGAGAATATATATTTATGTCAAGGGGAAAACATTAGAAACTTGTTTTTAGGTTTCCGAAGTGACTGTCCAACCAGTGGGAGAGATATACTGAACAATATCTACGATACGACAATCACAAATCAATTATAATGTATTATATTTTAACTTGTAACTTGTAACACTAAACTATTCACGTGGAAAGATTGGAATTTTTATAAATGTACTATTGGTAATATTTTTTAAAATCGAACATTCACTATTTGAAAAAAAATCAGACTCAAGCATTTACATCAATAAAGACTTTTAATAATATTCCACGACATACTAAAAATGACAATTAATAAAATTTAATAAAGAATTCTGTACTATGCTTATCAATGCTCAAAACATTATCACCAATATAAATTTTTTGAAAATTATCAGGTGGGTAAGATATATAATTTTTCATATACATTTCATTTATCTGTCTCTCGAAAACAAAAACCAAAAAAGTAAAATAACATTCGCCACGATTTTGAAAATCATCCTTGCAATTTTGAGTCCGATTCAGGAATCTGTTACTCAATATAGGCAACTGTTAATTAAACGAACATCCCATAAGGATATCAAGCTAAAAAATACTAAAAATTTCTCAAAATTACAAACTATATTCTGCCAATAATTGTAGCTGACAGAAGTCAAATTTTTATAGTAATATCAACTTGTTTGTAACAAAGCTAAATAAATATTATTTAGTACTGTATTTATATGTAATTTTTGTTTCGTAATGGTATTTTATAAATATGTTTGTAGTGATGTATGTATAATGTGCTTAATTACTTTTGTAAAACAGGTACGACACAAACCCGAAAACAACCCTATAACACTAATAAGAACTTCGACGTCTTTCGAATAAAATTGATATTCCTTAACAAAAAGGTTAAGATCGAACATTTTTGGAAATGGATGTACCGAGATATTGGCGATCTCGAAAAATTTACCTTTACATTTTTACATATAGTCCGAATAGACCCGCGTGCATATATATGCACGGAAGGCTTCTCTATGCTCGTCTTGAGTTTCCTAGAAAAGTTTATCGTTTCCGTGATACGCAGGCATTTTCGTCGAAGAAGCTTCCCCGCAGTTACCGTTATCTTCGTTACCGAGGGTTTATAAATTTCCTTTTAAGTATATACCTAATATACTTATACAGTTTTCCTGCTCTTTATATAACCCCGTAATCCTGAATCGTCGCTCCCCCTACCGATGGCACTCCCATATTATTAAGAGTGTATTTAATAAAGCCCCGTTGCGTTGCTTATAGATTGAAGATAAATACCGGGACACTTTGACAAGATGTTTCCGGTTACTTACGTAAACGTTTAAAGCATTGGTTAAATTAATTAATTCCTAATACAATAAAAAAAGCTAATTATGAAACATTTTAATGCTTAAAGCTGTCTAGAACTTCAAGGGAAACGAGTCTGTTTGTTATCAAAATTTGCGGAAAAAAAAACAAAGCATAGCTTTATTTTTGTATAGTCAATTTATTTTCTTGTATGTGCAGGTTTTGGGCTTCTAAATTAATAGAAATTAACATAGACTTTATAAACCTTCCGGATTTCGTTCGCGTCTTTAATGAATCGAACCAGTAGTTTCAATTAAGCTCTAAAGAAGCCAATAAGGTGATTGGCAAAACATCAGCAAGTTCAATTGATCAACAACTAACACAGGAGGAACCAAGAAGATTTGCGTATTACACAAGTCTACAAAATTAAATTTTTTGACATAATTTTTTAATTTGACAACTGATTTTATATAATTTTGGTAGGCTTTTGGTAAAATAATTAATTTTTGTATTCAGTAAAAAAGTGGAATCCTAGTTAGGATCGTAGTCAGGAATATTGTTGCAAAATACAAGCGGTCCCTTATGAGTAAAATATTGAACTCTTTTTCGCGATCCTGGTAAAAGCTTGATGAGACGCCAGGTGCCAGTAAAGGCTTGTCACGAAGTCTGAACTCTAACAATTCGGATCCAGTCATTAGAAGGTGCAAATCTCTAATTATATCATTTAATTCGCTGAAGTTAAACACTTCGGATTCTCTGAAATCTGATGTGATATCTGAGTCGTCTGAGTCGGAATTAGATTCTGACGATATAACGTTTTCTAGTTCTTTAATACCAAAAAAACAAAATTCATGATCATATCCAGGAATCTAAACACGTTTCAAAACTCCACCATAACATTTAACGCTAGACCCATAGAAAGAGTGGACAAATTCAAATACTTGGGTACCTGGCTTTTCGAAGACTGGACATCGGACAACGAAATAAAATACCGTATAGAACAGGCCCGACAAGCTTTCTTGAGGTTCAGAAGAGTGCTAACCTGCTCCGATTTTGACCTTGACCTAAGAATGAGATTCGTGAAATCCTACGTTTGGTCGGTGCTCCTTTACGGCATGGAGGGGTGGACACTGAAGACAACTACAATAAACAAATTAGAGGCCTTTGAGATGTGGCTACACCGCAGAACTCTCAAGATACCCTGGACGGCTAGATTGACCAACGATGAAATTCTAAGACGTGTTAACAAACCACGTGAACTTTTTGAATCAATTAAGAAGAAGAAAACGGCATATCTGGGGCATATCATGCGAAACAAAAAATATCAATTTTTACAACTGTTGATTGAAGGCAAGATCGAAGGCAGGAGGGGGATCGGAAGAAAAAAAATGTCGTGGCTTCGAAACATCAGACAGTGGACTGGCCTGCATGATGTACAGACGTTGATACATATCGCAAGAAACAGAGAAGCAATGGAAAATGTTATCGCAAACATCCATTAATGGATACGCATTGGAAGAAGAAGAAGTTCTTTTGGGGCGGTAGGTATCGGTACATCTGGTCGAATAGCAGAGTCAGGAGGGGGATACACAATTTGTTTCTTTTTTCTGTTGAATCCTTGAACATTATACGAACAAAAATAACAATGATCACTGTGATTCCTAGGCTCTCGCCATACCATAGGAACACCAGAGCTCAAACATTTCTTCCTAACTTTTTGCCAGTTTTTTAATGCTTTAAGGCAAACGGAACAAACAGTATGAAGTTCTTACTATATATTTTTCATAAAAGAAGTCATGTTGTTGCCTTTGCTTTACTACAACATCACTACCTCAGATATAAAAAAAGTTATTTGGATTGTTCACACAATGCCTTATTTCCATATTTATACGTTCTAGAAGGCTAGAAATACGCAACAACGAAGACAACAGCCGCAAGAATAGTATCACGACGACCAATACAAACTGCGCATATGCAGGTTACAAATTGACGCTTCTGCGCCAACTCTGTTGCTTTGCATAGAAATCTAATATTATCCAGCGTTCCTGAATCACATTTAATTTTATTTTATATTCATGTCATACGTATGTATATTAATAAAATAAAATTTTTAATTTATAGAGCGCTATACAAAAATATGTGGTAGAGCAAAAACTAGAAAGAAAAAACTAGGTTATCCTAAAAAATTAACAATTCATTACATTAAATGCTATTCCCACGATCAGGTGACCCATTAAATAGTATTTATGGTGGTCATAGCCCCCTAGAGACAATTTTCGAAAATTAAATAAAAATTTAAAAAAACAAAAAAAAAAGAGAAAAACTATCTTATCCTGCGTAGAATGATTTTCTGAATCCAAAAATGCAAAAAAAAATATATAGGTTGACCCATTTAAAATTCGAAAGTTACTGTCGGTTCCGTACAAATGCAACCCATTGACTACATATTGTCAAAAAATTGGACACTTAGCGTATATTAATTCTTCCAAATTTCAAATCACTATCTCTAGCCGTTTAAAATTGATTGTGTCACATGGTATAATTATCTGAGTCTGTAGAAGTCCCTTTGAAAAAAAAAAAAGAAATTAAACCAAAATAACGAGGAGATTTAAATTCCTACCAGTCATCATACTTATTATTGTATTTACGCTCATGAAGGACACCTTAATAGAGGCGTATTTATGATCAAATTTGCCTATAAATAGCCACGAATTTAGGCAATTAATAGATGTTGTATATCCGGTGGATTAAATTCGTTTTTTATTTTTAAACAAAGTTTATGAAAAAGAACATCTTATCGTTCAGCATTTGCGGTAAACGCAACCTTGTGTATCGCCATATTGTAGATAAACCACCGTTTTTCTATAATATATTGTAGATAATCCACCGTTTTTCTATAATTACACCTTGCAATGCTTATATTAATCATCATTTCATGGCTCGAAATTTAGTTGCGTATTATCGGAAAACGAACCACTATATAAAGACTGCAAAAGCGATTTCTAATCCCATAAGTATTTGCGCTGTATTGTTGCCAATTTGTGAGAGAGAAATGGTGCTATCGTTGGACCGTTTTGTGGGGAAGGTTGCTGTAGTAACTGGAACCAGTGCTGGCATAGGAGCTGCTATTGCAGAGGCACTAGTCAAAGAAGGGGTTATAGTAAGCGAAGCATGTTATTTTCTCTAACAGGAGAATTGTAATGACTAGCGAATTTTTTCGGACATTTACATTTTTATCAGGTTTGTCGTCAACAAAATGTTCTCGATATCTAAATGATAAATATTTCGAGGGTGTCAACTGTGTCAACTCGATTGGTCCCAAGGTTATGAAATTAATGCGAATTAGATATTATCACAACCCAGTTTTATATTGTTATTATTTTAGTTGAACAAGAAGAGACCTTTCACAAAATCAACGATTATATAAGTATAGCTGCGCTTTTATTTTCCACAGGCTACTGTAATACTTCTTATAAAACTTCTGGATTCCTCCTGCGATGGTTTTTATTGAGTCGAACTAGATAACTTTTCGGCAATAATCCTGTTGGCTTCTTCAGAGCTGGACTGAAACTGGCAAGCTCTGAAGAAGCCAACAAGATGATTGGCAAACCGTTAGCTAGTTCGCCTCAACAAAAATAAATTCATTTTCTAATAAAAGAATTAATGCTTTGATGATTTGATACCCTTTTGAAAATACTTTGTCTACGACCATTAGTTTTTGGATATAGTATTACAAAACAGCACGAATACATTCATTGACATGACGTGACATGACACGAACATGATATCGCTAACAAACCCGTGACTAAAGTACCGCAAATGCCTGAAATGCGTCGAGACAGTGAATAATGAAGCTGGTGTCTTAAGGTGCAACTTTCATGGCGCTTAATAGGCGTATACTTTGGGTATTTTAAAGTAGGGAGAGCAGAAAAGGTGTTTCTTCTATGCTTAAATATTCTACACAGGCATCAAATTCTTGTGGCTTGTTTTTTTTAGCGATTTAAGAATGTTTATGCATTTTTTGTATGCTAAGGAAGAATAATTGATACCATTGAATTAAGCGACAATTTAATTCACGAAAGATATCTTCCAATCCTTTATGACAATAAATTTTAGAAATTTTAGAATTAGAAGAATACAGTCGTGCGTCTGTAGGTTGCAGGGCTCGCTCGTAGAAAAGAACGCGTGGAAGAACAAGCGAAGAAATTATCCGGCCTGAAAGGAAAATTACACGCGGTAAGATGCGACGTCACCAATGAGAAAGACATCTTGGAAGCGTTCAAGTGGGTGAGAGAAAATTTGGGACCTGTCCACATATTGGTGAATAACGCGGGACTAATACAACCGACTTCTTTAATAGGCGGTGATAGTGCAAAATGGAGAACTGTTTTCGGTAAAACACTTAAATAAATAAATTCTATATTCATTATTATCCTATGTTTAGCACGGCTTATTTACAATAAAATTCCACATAATTTTGCCGTAGAATTTTACTTTTAACATAAAATAATAAGCTGTTGTTATGTTTATAGTTAAATGATCTTTTCAAAAAAACAACATATAAATTATATAGTGAAATTTTAATTCGGTTTTCAGATACCAACGTCATTGGCCTCTGCATAGCCACAAAAGAGGCCGTTAAAGACATGAAAACGAACAACATCGACGGTCACGTGATTCACATAAACAGCATTGCTGGTCACAAAGTGATCCCCAGACCGTACATCAATGTCTATTGTGCTAGTAAATACGCCGTTACAGCACTAGCCGAGACTTTGAGAAACGAAATCAACCAAGAGAATTTAAAAATTAAAATCACGGTAAACGCTGCTGCAAAGCTTTGAAAATATAACGTATTTTTTGAACAGTAATTTTTACGGACACGATGTTGCAGAGCGTCAGTCCAGGGTACGTAGAAACGGAAATAGTAAAAGCAAATTTTGGCGCCGATGCGTCCAAAATAGTTCTCGACGCAGCTCTACAAGCTGAAGACATTGCCGACGCTGTGATCTACGCGTTGTCCACTCCCCCACATGTGCAGGTATAATGGCTCTGCGACATTTGAAAATATCATGAAATAATATTTTTTCAATTTTTTTCAGGTATCGGAAGTGACGGTCCAACCGGTTGGAGAAAAAATTTAACTTATCTATAAATTATGAAAAATTTATTAAAAGAGTTATTGTGAAAAGTGAAAAGAAATACAATTATTAGTTTACATGTTTTCCTTAATTTTAAGGCCTAGCTCATAATAAGAGCACATAGATATTTAAACGAAATGTTTATAATGACATCAAAAAGGTATTGATATTTGGAATGGTTCAGGAATTTAGCACTTAAATACATTTTTAACTGATTTACAATTAACAGTTTCTCCTTGAAAAAACTCATATTTTAAACATCCTTTGTCAGTAGATACCCAAATATATTCATAATTTTTTGAAATTACTTTTTCTGTATAAAAGAAAATCCACCCACTTATGACAACTTTTATAAATTATTGATAATTTGTAACTGGGATATAATAATTTATAACTTAAAGAATGGCTCAACTATTAACCTCGTAACAGGAACTCGAAATAATTAAAAATATATTAATAAAAAATAACAATAAGAAATCCATAATGTAAGATACATAATAAATAATAATTAGGTTTATGCAATGTCGAAACGGAGGTTCCTTTAAATTTAACAAAAAGAAGAAAAATATCGGAAATTAATTTTGAAATAATCTGAATAATTTCGGCTTTGCTGTTTGACTGCAGAATCTACAAATAAATCAATTCTTATATCCCATCGCAGCCGCTCGGCTTTCTTTCACGCCGAAATTATAGAATACATTGTTTAAAAGAATCATCGCAATTATACAAAAATAAATGAAAAGGAAAAAGGTATCGAAATCGAACAACACGGAAAAAGTTCAACCAGTATTCAGGAAGACGTCTCAGAATGAAAATTTAAATTTAAAATCAGCATCTAGTTGTCTCCACTTAAATAAAGTTAATGGCTTATAAAATTTGATCATGTACGAACAATTTCTTTTGTTGCGAGAGAGAAAAATTATCATCTCTCCGTGGAGCGTGACGTAGCCAGCTCGACGAGAATTTAAAAAAAGCAACAGCACAAAATACGATTAGCTGAAGACGAAATCGTTTCGAATTTTTTTGGTCTCATTACGCTCCCGCAGAATTCCGCTGCATCGCTGCGCACTTAATGGAGGACTTTTTCGTCTCTTGTAAAAATATTTACTCAGTAAAAATAATGCTATCGTGTACGCCAACCAGGACTGAATTTATTTTTGAATTTCGCTGAATTTTTGAAAATCAATAGTTGTCTATATGATTTTTTGGCTAACGAAAAATGTTTTCTAATGGCATGTAGCCCTACTTCAAATAGATCACATGGTATTTACAGATATGTTTACATTTTTGTATAAGGTAAAGAAAATTCTTTTCTCTTGCTAACTCTTATTATTCATGGTAAATTTTACCCATTGTGGAAAACGTTATAGAAAATTTACTATACTGCTACTATTAAAGATGGACACAACACCTCTAGAAAATCTAAATCAAATATACTGGCTAAGTAGAATTAGGGGACCAAAACTAACCAAAACTGACTTAAAGTTAAAATTTTCGGTTATGGTTCTTTCAATTCTACATCACAAGCATTACCAATATTCCAAACATTCAATTTAAAACTGATAAGAATGGGGCGCATTTGTTGTGATAGCACTAGTGTCAGATTTAAATTTATTTTGTTTCATTTTATTCCTTTCATAATATTTTTTATAAAAAAAAATCTATTTTTCTTTCATAGTGTGTAGGATTTCCCTTCACCACTTCAAGCAAACCAAAATTTCGTTCTCTATTATTTCAATTTCCTAATGTTAATTTTTAATTAATATATATAGGTATATATTATATAAATTAGTTGGGTGATATAAAAATTTTAATTCAATTATTCATTCTTTCACATTGCCAAATCGACCTTGCCGAATCAGATAGTAACAAAGCAACCGAAGGAACACTGAATACCAGCCTTATTGTCACCGATAACAGTAGCTTTTTGGCATGATTCAATCAATTTGTCATTTGGGAAAAAAAGAAACAAATCTCCTTGTCGAAAAATAAATCACAAAATCCCTGCAATCAAAAACGTTGACGTGCTGACGAAATCGTTTTTTTTTTCAGACAATCCCGCTTCTGATTTGTTACCTTTTCGCGCCCGCCATTTCTCCGACAGACTTCCGTCGGTTTATGCTTTAATTTAAAGATTAAATTCGGGAAATTGAAAGCCGCGTTTGCGAAAGAGTAAATAAGTTTTATCGGCCCATTCCCAATTAAAATATATGAAAGGGAGCCAATTAAAATTGAATAGCTTCTTAAATCGTCGGGCTTAAATCGAAATTTTATTCTCCGACAGCCGACGAAGAAAATGGGACAAAAGTAATAGCTTACGCGTCTATACATAAGCGGCGTGAAATGTTTTTTTGACCTAGTTCTCTAAATTTCTGGTGTCGTGAATAATTTAGCGGGCTTCGATTGATGTCAATCAATCCCAAAAAAAAGCGCTGTAAATTCCGCTCTACCTTAAATAACGTGACGCGTTACCAACTCATTTTAACATATAAGTTTTTCAAACTGTTTGATTTTTATCAAGTATCACTCTCTCTTTATTTTTTTGAAGCATTGCAAACGTGAAACTGACATTTTTGCAGTATGACAAGTCAAATATTTAATATCTTTGTTAAGGTTATTTTAATGACGTTAACGTTCTAGTTGTGGGGTGAACAGACGCTACTTTTTGAAATAGTATCGACAGATCGAAATTAGTTAGTTTGTATATAAAAAAATTAAACAATGAATGAATCACAGAGTATGATCGGTCTATATATAAAATAGTAAACAATAAAAAAATAGGGTTTTTTCGTTTTTTAGTCTAGACATATAAGACTATAAACCAGAGAACAGAAAAAAAAGTAAAATAAAAGAGAAATACAATAATATACATAATGTAAATCATGCAGCGGAATAGGTAACTATTAATACTAGCAATAGATAAACATTTTAATAAAGTTTCATCGACATTAGAGTAGTAAAATGATGAATTTACAACACCGTCTATAGTTCAAATTACCGTCGGTCGAATAAAATGCAACAGTTAGGCCGGGACTATAGGATGAGCTTTTGAATGATCCGTTTGGCGGCAACACAGTCTTGGAAGCTGTATATTGCGCTAGAACGCGAACATGCGTGCTCTATTCTACACTTGTGCAGTTGTACAACGTTTTCAAAAATGAAAATTGTTTCCGCCGAAATGGCGGATTTGCTTAAATAGCCAGCGGCTCAAATTTGGTTTAGCCGAAATCATTTACATAAATGTACTTTTGAACATAGAACATAAAATTACAAATAATTTTTGCATTTACATTTTCCGGACTTGTGAATAGTCGAAATCAACATTAAAACTGTTTTGAATTTTAAATGTTTTTGTGACGTTAAAAACAAAAAAAATTCTTGCAGAAATATGTATTTTATGAAGAAATTTGAATCGCTTTAGAATAGTTGAAAATAAAATTGCTGTTTGCTTTATATTTTAAATATTCTTTTCAATAAATAAATGTAATATTTTTTAGAATTTTACGTATTATTGACACCAAAATGTATTCCAGACAAACTTGTATTAATAGGTATTAGATTTTTTTGTAAAAAACTTTTTTATCGTTTGCATTTTTTGTCCCAGTGTTTTGGTTAGTTTTAGTTTTATTGTAATTGCTTTGGATCCGGAAAATGAAAATAATTCATTTCCGCATTGAAAAGGCACAAATATTTTTTTATATGTAATAAAACTTCCAGCGAATGGGTCTCCTATAGTCATGTATATATTGGCACCCACCGCTTAAGAAAATTCAAAAAAATAACCACGTGTTCTCAAAAAAAAAAAAGATATTATTCAATGTACCTCTTTAAATAAGAAGCAATTTCAGAAAAAGGAGCTACTGGAGATTGAATTTTTGATTAAACCTCTATGTACGAAATTTGTTGTCGACGAAATAGCTTAAAAACCAAATATAACGGCATTTCGCCTGCAAGTTAAAGGGTTTGTAGCAAAGCTTATCTTAACCATCAGTTTTCGGCTTAATTTTTCCTCACCCAGCAGAAAAGTAGAAGAAGATATTCTGTACATGCTTTTCATCCGAAACGTGAATCTATTAAAAAAATTTATGCAATTTTATGAAAATATACGAAAAAATGAAGAAGTGTTTCCCGGGTATCACCAACGCATCGCCAATTATCCTCCTTTTCATTTCTATTGCCATATTGTTTCGAACTCTCCTTCCAAACACTCTTAGATGTACTAGATAAAGTTGTCTATATCGAAAGGAAGAAGCTACTATATATTTTCTGTTCGGAAAGGATTTCAGAAGAGTAATGCTGGACATTCAATTTTTGAGCTGATTTGACAAAATCCCCAGCTAATGCGATACTCTTGCCGCAGTATTATAATAGCCGATTTTTTGTTTCAAAACCCCAAGTAATTTATATCGTTCAAAAAATCACGGTAACAAAGTCGTAAACACGGATTACAAATTCGCGCATTTGAAGTTGTGGCGGAAAAGCTAACAGCAGGGGGAAGATACGATTTTAATTACCCGCCAGTATTGGAGCCACTAAAACCGGTACACCTGGCGGTAAATATATTATATAAGTTCGTAATAAATTTCGCAAAGTAATTTAGCAGGTCGCAAAACAAGTTTTCACAGAAACGGAAATATATGGCGAAATATCATTTTAAACTTCCGAGACGTGTCCCCGAGGGACGAGGCTGTGAGAACTCTAGCTGATTAAGTTTCTGTTGGCAATAAAAAAATAATAAAAGAAGAGGCGAACGACATTCGACAGCGTGTTTGTAAAATCTCGCTAATGGCGAAGAGGACAGAGTGGAATATACAGTTTTGTATGCTCCCTCCTGTCTTTATTTACATTCTAGGACGAAAATCTACCGGTTTGTTACGAATTTAATTTGTCCAGACTATGATATAAAGTAAAGTCAATAAAATTGTTCGGTGCTGCTTGTTCCAACTAAGAACTAAACTAACCAAAAAAATCAAGAATACACTGTTGGTATGGTAATATGCGTAGAAGTACAGAGCAATGGTGAATAGATTAGTACCAGCGAGTGCATATGGCATATGGTAGTTGTCTTTTGAAGTTG